TATGTGCACGAATGATAATAGTTCGATTCAGTTATAAGTAGCATACAAACCTGTGAACGTGTAACGGATTAAAGTACTTTTAAAAAAGCTTAGAAATATCGGTCTGTATACAGTTGGCGAGTAACGACAGTTTTAAGACAACCCCAGTAAAGTCAAGCAATATTTATATCAGATATATGTTAACCTTAATTGCCAAACACAATTTGCTCATTGTGTATTCGTTCTTGACAAAAACAGACGACAAACTTCACATGATTTCCCTTTTTCAGTAATATTGTCATGTTATGGCCGTTGCTCCCTTCTATCATGTTATATGGGCATATCGAGTTGCATTACACTGGGAATGTAGTTTTTACTAACCGTTTGGTAAAGAAGGACAGAGATGTTTTTTAACTTCCTGGTCAGTATATGTGTGGTAGAAATACACTACATCATACCTCCGGCTTATTAAAGGTACACATTGTGTAGAATGGAGGTGTGTCCTTTGTGGTTGGTGATTCTCTACCTCATATCATCGGTTCACATTGTCAACACATCAGGTATGATTGAATACATAAATTCTGTTAATGTTTTATGCTGATCGTGAATTATCTTGAACGTTTGGTTTGTATTATTTTTAATACCAAATAATTTTAATATCTTACAAAGGCAGTTATGAACATAGATGAGGTTCAAATGAATAGTATTTGATATGTGCATGTTTAAAATCACGTTTGGACTGATTTAATATATTCATCGCGAAAACGACCCCTTTGAGTATGCGTGTGTCCTATCATATAAACATTCGCTGTCGATTGAGTATGTGTGAACGCTGTCACTGTATAAACTGGTGACTATCACAGTGGTTCACTAAAAGGTAAGCATTGTCAGATTGGCGCCATACCGCTTAGCTTCTCATCACTTCTTATACATCTTCGTATTTAGATAGCGGGGCAATCTTATTTAATAAAGTGTAAAATATTCCTGTTGGCGTTAACGTTATCGTGGTAGTGTTAAGAAGTAGCTGTATTTCGTTTAATGCAGTACAAATATCAAAAGATGGGTGAAGATATAAACCTGAAATGACACAAAATATAACATTCATTCATTGAAAAACGAAACATTAATTCATCGTTTTCTTTTAAATTATAATTAATTACAACGTATTTTACATTCTGAAAATGAGAATGGTAATCGTTCTGAACACTCGGCCATTAATATTATCGTTAACGCTTCATTTTGTTATGCAAATAGCGGTGATTTAAAAAAAAGATTAACATGTCCCTATGCGATTAAAGCCTAGTACAATGCAGTCCATGTGTATACTGTCAAACCTTTGAAATGTTCCCTATTACAACGTTATCAGGCTTAATATTTACATAATGCAGACTACATGTTTAAAACTACATTGAAGACACGACGATTGCATGTGTACCTTGATTAAAAGCAATGACATGAGATACGCTATCCTTAATGTTGAATATATTCTTTGAACCGTAATATTAAAGCTTGACATCAACGTACCAATTACACTTCGTCTTACGACTGTCCGAGGTACCATACTTACATGTTATTGTCAATATATAATGCATTATATACAAATGTATGCATTGCGTTTATAGCTCAATACCAAGGTTCTTTATAACAATCAGTGGTTATAGACTATAGAAGCAAGGGCTTACTTCTGTTGATATGTACGACTATTACACTGAATCAAATGTTGTCGTCACAATTTATCAAAAATATTTGAATTGCATTTTTTATGTCGTGATTGTTTTAGTTTGTACACGCCAGGCCGTAAAAATGACATTTAAAGTAGAAAGGGTGGAAAAGTTAATTGTTATGTAAACCTACTGCAAACATTAGTCTGGTTAAGTAGAGCAAAACTCAATGTAACCTCCTGGTATATACATGTACTTGGGTACGTACGAGGGAAAGACTAGGTTATTCCACCACGTTTATATCTGTAATTGGGTACGGGGAGAAACTAGATTATATCACCATCTTTGTATATAATATACCTTGTACTTAGAACAGATTACGTGTTTTATATCAATTTCATTCCACTATTATGCTGTCATGTTTACGATGCATATCCGGATAGTACAACACATATACTCAATTGAATAGTATGTTAATATTACCGAAAGTGCATTGGCACTACTTCATAGAGTTTAGGAAAAAAGACCATGTATATTTTATTTTTATTTTTTAACCTCGCCTGATGAGTTCAATTGTGGCGGGCTGGACAGTTAGCACATCGATAATCCAATGGCGAGGTAAACGTGCAGACGATTTGGGAGCTGGTTGAATAGACCGTTTCGATTAGAGAGCACTTGGCATGTGTCTAACTATTTACCTGTTGTAAAGTAAAGATTTCTAAAGAAAGTGGTCATAGATCTGTGAAAATCCAGGGCCGAGGCGTAACTTCCGAAGCGTTACTTAACACAAAGGTTTTATTTCATTCAAAAGTTTTACGTGTATATGTCTAGATATATCTTATATATTGCGTTTCCATATTGTCGTTTACAATGCATGGGGCTAATTAAAATGTACACCAGCGTCATGAGATTATTTCTGACAGGTGACAATATAGGATGAAACATATTTACTATACCCTTACTCAACTCTGCTGTGTTGTACTCGCACTAGCTACAAATACACTCATTCAAAGTATGCAGTCACCCGTTTACGTTTAAAGGACGCGCCTATACACAATGCACTTCGATGGTTAATGTCGCTTAAATTAAAATGTTATTGTAGTAGACACATACAAGTCCTTATACAACATAAACACAAGATTCACGATGATTCAGCATGAGTCACGTGATAACCAATGATTCATATAAATCCCCGTTGAGGCCAGAGTAGACAGTAAAAACATTGTATGAGCATTCGCCTGTAAATATGTCAAACAAGTTGTTTATTTTATTGTAATACACTTCGAACAATGACAGTCAGGTAACTTAAGAATTAAACTTCTTTCAGATAATGTTCATGGGCAATAGAAATGTCCATTGAATTACAGGAAAATGACATGAACCGTATTAGTAGTTCGTGTTTTATCTACTATAATGCAGTTTACATTTATTATTATATTCCCCGTGAACTACATCTGAAAAGACATTTGATATCTACGTTTACACTTTCGCTTCTTTCTGTCTTTTCTAAAACATCTCTTCAATTTTAGTATGTAACAGTATGTGCATTCCTCCAAGATGCACATATAATATTTTATTCTTCATTTGACTTCTTTGGACTGAATTTGTCAAATATAGTTTGCGGATTCAACAATCGTAAAAAAGAGGTTCCCAAACGAACGATGGCTGGTTATCATGTTTATTTAGCTGGAGGTAATTAAAATTGTAAAAGGAAATGAGGTTTACCGACTGTATAAACACGATAATCAGTCATAACGAGTTAGGGGACCCACTTCGTTCGGAGATTATATCGGAGAAACAATTGCTATGAAATTTTACGTCATAATAGAAAATGACGTCGCAAAGAATTGTTTCTTGACGTTATAATTAGAGAGATTGAAATATGAAATAACGTCAGGATGTGACCCTCTAGTGTGTGACTGAAAATGTTTACAAACTCTTAGCGGGTTTATTCAATGAGACAGGAGAGAGGAACATGTACGGACTTTTTTTGTTACCAACTTTACACCGCAGAGACATGTCTGTTTAATTTTGAAAACATATATCTGATGTTGTCGCTACGGAAAGCCTGTTGTAGTCTACGTATTCGTTTATACTCAAGAAATATTTTGAATGTTGATGTCGAAAATGAACAAAGAGTAGCCATGCTATTGCTTTTCGGTTTAATTGTAAAAATTTCGTTTTTGTTTGTTTTAATTGTGCGGCACTGATAGCGATATTTATTTAAGATTAACTTGAAACGGTCGTGTGGGACAGTGAACTAGTGACATCTTGCATTTTTATACATGTAATTTTATTTCCGCCTAAATGTTATAAAGTATTTTTATTCTAATAGAAATCATATATTTTTTATATGCCTTCATGCTTGAATACTTCTCACCCAAAGGGAAAAAAAGAAATCACAACGAGACTTCAACGTGACTTCCGGTTTTTTTGTCCACTCGATAACGTTTGTACATGTAGTACTTCTTTTTTGGTTCATAATCTGAAAATCTGAAAGATATTTATTTGGTTAACATATTGAAATTGCAGCTCAAATTTCAATTGTTTAGACTGTTTTTCTGGTTGGTACAGAACGTCAGTGGGATGGTCGGGTGGCGCAGTAAATAGCGCACTAACCTTTCACCAAGGCGGTAGGGGTTCGACTCCCCGACCGGACGTGAAAAGGTATTGAGTCACCTGCCCGACCACGTGGGTTCTCTTTGGTCATATCGGTTTCCTCCCACATTATGAACCCTGCGCGCTAACATCCGGGCCAAAAAAGTTATTAATATAAATTGAAAGAACTTGTTTTATAATTGTTGTAAAATAAATAAAGTTTATATATTTATATATAGAACGTCACGCACACGCCGTCGTCATACATGTCGCACATGTTACATTCGTGCAGAATGGAGTTTTTTGCCCTCTGCCTATTAATTTCATACTTCATTTCCGCAGTGAAGATATCTAAAACCTCAGGTAGGATTGCACGCATTTCTTTTCTTGTGTAAGTGTATGTCGGACATCCAACACTGTGTCGGTAATATAAACTCTGAATCAGGATACTCCCTACTGCGTGCAAATTTTGTCAATACGCATGCATTCCATTGCATCTAAAACGATCATAATCTCTTCAGAAAAAACAGTTGAATTAAGTGCATTACTAGCAAACACTCAAACATTAAATAATTGACAATATTGTCAGAATGTTGATATTCGAACTATGATACTTCAAATCAAATTCTTAATAAACATCGATATCCTGGACCATATTTCGTATATTTGATAGCAAACCAGACCTGCTTTAGTTTAGAGGAAATAAAGTTAGGTGAATAGATAAATATGTCTAAGTTCCTTTTTAATCATATATAGAAATCGTGTGTTTATAGCGACTTGTTTACTTGCTGTGGGTATATTACGTAGATAAGGAAACCCTAACCTGAAACAAAGTGGCTCTATATATATGATTACAATGTTGAAAACGATCCATTTCTTCGTACAACAGGTCATGTAACAGATTGAATTACGTCCTTATTAGAAAAATTACACTTCCCTCGACTTTAATGAGATTTTTATATGCTTTAACCACAAATGTGCTTCCGACACCTGATATTTATATCGTGACGATTTTGACACTACACGTTATTTTTATTAGATTTGTTTTAAGTAGTATGACATGTATCATATGCGGTACCCGTCATATGTTCGTACCGTACACCACTTAATGATACAATAAGCATTCCGTTGGTCGTTAAGGACATCAAACTTGGTATTTAGTAGATGACGTCATGATAATAAAAGTCAAATAATTTCTACGAAGATTGAAACCCTTCCGTTTAGCATCTTTGATATCATTCTGCTAAACAAAGAAGATTAAGGCACCTCTGGAGAAAATATATGCATTAAATCTCCCCTGGTCAACAAGGTAAATACATATTTTTTCTGGTACAAAAATGTAGATTGACACTCCTTCGGTAAGCAACTTATAATTCAGTTTATTTGGTAAATAAAATGACCGAAGCCCCTTAAGTAAACAACGTAGATTAAATTATCTCTCGTAAACAACGTAGAATGAAGACGATTTGATAAACATCAAGATTGAAGCCCTATCTGGTAGACGACGTAGATTGAGGCTTCTTTGGTAAACGATGTAGACAGAAGCTTCTAAAATATCCTCTCCCCGGTAAATAATGCAGATCGAAAAACTTCCCGTAAGCGACGTAAAGAAGATTTTCTGGTTAGCAACGTGTAGATAAAACCTCCTTTATGGAACCGCTTTTATACGACTCACAACACACATTGAGGTCAAACTGATATACAACATGGATGAAGCTCTTCCGATTAACAACGTTGATAAAAGTTCCTACGGTAACCAACGTTGATTGAAGTCCCTGTTGTTACAACGAAAATTGAAGCCCCGAAAGTAAAAAAACGCTACTGAGAAACAACATGATTCATGCCCTTCAGATAAACAACACAGATTGAAGCCTCTCCGGTAAACAACAAAGAACGAAGCTCCTCCGATAAACATAGTGGATTGAAGCAACTTCAATAAACAATGCAGATTGAAGCCCCTCTCGTTACATAAACACATTTAATCCTCGCTCGAAAACACCTTAATATGAATACCTAACAGAAAACAACGTGGACTAGAGTTATTCCAATAAGAAACCCTTCGGCACAAAACCTAACTTGAAACCTTCCGTTAAACCAAGTAGGATGAACCCCCTACATTCTAATATGCTAATTGTAAAACTAAGAATTGTATCAATAGTGTCTGTGATATCATTTGTAAAGAAAAATATTCATTTTTTTTACTTATGTAAAAACAAGAAAGGAAAACATATCTTAATTGAAACGCAATTCCTGAGTAACTAAATGTTACCTACCAGAGTCTTTGCTAAATTTGTTCTAACTCTGCTAACGTTTTGCCCAGTGTTCTCACCTTAAAAAGTGCTTAGGCAGCCCCGATATTTAACTGAATAATCTTAATCTAGTTTTGTAGTAATGTTACTTCTTCAATGACCGGATACTTTCGGGGTATAATTTGTATCGTCCTTATGCTGTTCCTGAAGTATTATGCGTGACATCATCATATGATCTAACGTTCCATTTTAGCATTTTCAGTGCTGCCTTTGGTGTTAATGCGTAAGTTCATTATGACATAAATTCAATCAGCAAAATGCGCATCTGAATCCTGACATGCGATGTTGCATTTTAGTCTGGAAAAGACAGAAACATAATTACAGAATGTTCAAGTCCGTAAATCGCAAGGACATTCAATTAATCATGGCAAGCCAATCGAAAAATCCATGTACATTTGTGATCATTTATTACACACATTATAATGTGATTGTATCCTTGCAATATTTGCTTAATGCAATTTTATCAAATTTTCGTCTCAAAATTATGTAGTTTATAGCACGATCTTATGTCAAAACAAATGTGTATTTAACTACACGGGCATATGGTGATAATAAGCCACTGTGGTTAGTGCGCTGAGTACGTTTAACCTTGATAGAGATAGTGCTTCCACCTGAATTGCAAAAATTTGACATTAAGTTTTTTAAGGACTCTATCCAGTAAGTGAACAAAAAATAGACTGCTATATCCTGTAGCCCATCTTAGCATATCTTTTATTTAAAATACTCATGTGCACATTGTCCTTTACTGTGCCATAACGTTTTTTCTTTTCCATTTCAGTAAACACTAGTCTTGGACCGACAGTCACGACAAGTCAGAGTTCAAATTATGATAACACGCACATTAGTGACAAGGTAGTAGATACCTGTACTAATCAGACGTTTGGAAGTGGTTGTTGCTCACATACAAACGGGAAACCTTCACCAAATGAAGCTTGGTGGCAGATTAGCCTTGGTGATCAAGTCGTCATCGAATACGTCAAAATATACCACAGAGGTAATGTAAATATATATACATATTCTCTACAAACACCTAGCTAACCAGAAAGCAAAGAAGCGATATAGTCATTTGGTAATCATATAATACGTCATTATTGAAGTGGTTGTGTATTACCTTATTTGTATTTCATTTGCGTCATTTTACTCATATCGTGCAGAATGAATGCTGAGTTGTTTGTCTTTTGGTTCATGATGCAGTGTCTACGAAGTCCGAATTTGGTTTTAAAACGAACCGAAAATCGTTAAGTCAATATTCAGTTAAATATTGATACATTTTATACCATAGTATCGATTCCAAAAAAAAGGTTTGTTCATTTTTTCATAAACAAACATACCATCCACTTTTCTTTTTTATTACCAGTCGATATTTCCGGCATGCAGTTCTATAAGTAGATTGCGAAATACAATGAGAAGAAAGTGGCACACTGTTTTAACAAACTTTTAGCGAATGGGGGATCTGAATTTTGTTTTTACTCCAAACTAGCATTAGTTTGTTTTATATCATTATTCTGCAAATGTTACACAAATAAATAGCGTTGCATGGCACATACATTAGGAAAGTTCTGTTTTCGTTATTAGTTCTAAACTTAAAGTATCCATATGACTATAAGGGACAGTCAATACAATCTATAAACAGTGAAATTGACAGAAACGTTACATGTACATACGTAAAAATGTCTTAGGCCGCTATCCAACAAGTGTTTCGTTTTGGGGTTTCTGAACTGGACACGTCTCATTTTACAACCTTATGACAAGCATAACCTATCTTATCCCCGACTTCTTGCATAACCATTTCAAAACTGTATCAATTAATTACACAATCTAATTAAAATTATATCTTCTCATCGCTCCCGTTTACTGATATATGTCGCGTTGAAGATGTAACAACATCCCATAGAGGGTCACGTCAGAGGTCAACATGAATGCATTATCGTATCTATAACAAGCCAATCAAAACGCGACATAACTCTTTCTTTCAACCAATCAAAAAGCAGGACCTGTAGCATTTAATGCAGACACCTCGTAGCCCAAAATCCACTTGTTCGTCTGGTCCAGTGATAGTTTGAATTTTGCGAAGCCTGTCATTGGTTAATTTTAGTTTCAGGTTGTTAAACTTTTTAACGACAACATCACCAGAAAAGGAAGTCTCTCTTATTTCAAAGCAAAATCCACAAATTGTACAAACGTTGTCTTGTAGATAGACACGGCGTGGTGTCATGGCGCCGCCATTTTCGATGCTCATTTGACACCTCTCGGTCTTTTATCATAGCAAGTGTGTTCCGAAATCATTACATCATCACTTACAGAAATACGTAAGCTCTCATCTGATTGGTTAATGCAAAGGTCACCTGAACATGACCCTCTGCGGGATGTTGTTAGATCTTCAACGCGACATATCAGTAAACGGGAGCGATGTGAAGATATAATTTTAATTAGAGTGTTAATTACAATAATTCCTATCATTTTTTTAGATGAAGACGTGACACATGTGTACACATTGTGTGACTGAGTAGCCGTTAACGCTCGTAATAGTTTGTAATAGCCATGTTTATTCATAGATGTTAATCAACAGGCTTGTTTCAGGCACATGTAAACTAAGTAACAACATCCAATCTGCGTACAGCAATATAAACTCGTATATATGTCTCAATATTCCAGCTAAAAAACGAAAGCGTTGTGTCTCAACACATGTATCAAAACCATCTCTCTGGTTTCCATGATATGGACACTCTTCTAGGGTAAAAAATGACCGTCCTTAGTGGTCTCCAAGAACCGACTCTCTGTTGAGCAAACCTGTCCCTATTCTAAACAGAAAGCAACTTCCGGTTCCTGTTAGGATGGGAATAATGGAAAGTGCCGAGGGCACAAAATAAGAAACAAATGCAGTTCGCGAGAGAACATTCAAAAGCCTATTTAAAGGGTCGAAGATAAGATCACCATTGAATCATAGCGAAGCAGAAACTTAAGGTAACCGCAATGAAAATGACCACCATAGTGGCGTACCAATCTATGTTAGGGAAATGCATAAAGCAATTGAAGTAAATATGAAATCTAAATTCAAAGAAAGAGTATGGATTAAACTTAAACTTTCTGATAAAGACTGTTTATTAATTGGTTGTACATGTATATATATAAGTCCAAATACCGATAAGAATAATATTGATCAACTTTTTAAATTGGTCATTGGTAATTGGTAAATATAAGAGACAACTATTTAGCACAGCATGTAAGGTTATATACCAGAAGGAGGATAGGCTGTGAACCAGCTGTATTGGACTTGTTGATAACAAATAAAGAAGAAATGGTGAATGAAATTATCTTTGAAAGTCTCTCGGCCACAGTGACCACTTTGTTCTGAAATATAAATTTCTCTGCTATAACCGTAAATCTGATAATGCAGTGCATCGCCCAATTTACCACAAAGGAAATTATGATAGAATTAAAGCGGAATTAAATATTCCTTGGGGTGAAATTCTGAAAGGCCCAGACACAGTGTACTGTTATTTTGTTAAGGATTAGTTCGCGCAAGTATAGATAAGCATATTCCAAAAACTAAAAGAGGAAACGGGATTAGTAAAGGATATCTCCCACAAACAGAAGAAGTAAGACAAAAAAATCAACAAGAAGCACAAGGCAAAGGTACATTGAGACAAGATGCGATTTAAAACACAGGGAATGCACTAAATTAAGAAATCAGGAAACTGAAAAGGTCCCGTCTGCATAGAAAGACTCTGATAATTCAGCAATATTTAAAAAGGGATAAAACCAGAAGCAGGAAACTACCGACCAGTGAGCCTTACAAATATCGTAGGTAAAACAATGGGAAAGACAATACGCGATTCAATTGTTACACATATGGAGAAAAACAACCTGTTCAGTAATAAACAATTTGGATTCATCTCAAAACGTTCAACGGTGCTGCAACTATCAAGGGTTCTAGAATATTGGACTGAAATATTTGACAAGGGCGGAGAGATAGACGTAGTGTATATGGATTTTAAAAAAGCCTTCAAAAATGTCCCACACAAAATATAAATAGGAAAACTTCGAAGCTATGGTTAAAGTTTTGCGGTTGTAACATAGATTGAAGACTGTTTGAGTAATAGAAAGCAGAATATGTCGTTTGAGCTATGTTCATGATATTTTCTTTTTAATAGAAACTATTATTTTGAAAAGAAATGACAAAAAGTTTATAAAAGACTTTTTATCAATATATCATAAAAAAGACACCAAATTACAGTACATGTAATATTTGGAAAAATATGAATGTAAAAAAAAATCGGGAATTTCCCATTTATGAAAATCAAAAGTATACATCGTATAAATACTTTTCATAGTCAACATTACCAAGTGATTTTGCTGTATTTTTATAAAAACAAAAATCTCAAAACATATAGTTCAATACCGCTCTAATTATAGGGTATGTATTTTTGTAGGTCGTTGTGCCGTTATATAGTTCAATTTGCAGAGAGTGCTGGACCAGACATATATGTACATGTATAAGGAAAACTGAAATGTTTAAACATATTGTCCATAAACACATGTTTATATAGGGAACCCAATAATACTAACAAACTAAAAAGTCAGTCTTCTTCCAAGCTTTCGGGCTTAGCCCTTCGTCAGGGATTAAATGCTATCTGATCTCTATGTCACATCCATCTTGTAAAACAGGATGAGTTACTCATCTTGAAAAAAAATCATTTAATCCCTGAAGAAGGGCTTAGCTCGATAGATTGAAAAAATGAATAACTTTTAGTTTGTTAGTGTAAAAACATACATAAAGTAGAGATAATTTTTGTGTTTTACTAAAAGAAATGTAAAATGCCTTAACCTTTATCTATAATATGGAGAGCGAAAAACAAAAACTCGACGGCACGGAAGTTGAAGAGATAAGTTCCCTATCAAAGGTAAATTTAAGAATTTATAAATACTATTCATATATTTAATTTGACAACCAATTGTAACTGTAGTCACGTCTATATTGTTCAAATTTAACTATGTTATTTCTTTGATATATGTAAAAGCCCAAGATTTGACACCAGTGGTAGAATTCAACATGTTCGGATGATACGTTTTTACATAGATCTTTTTACATTACGATGCAAATGCCATAAAAATGTACCACTAGCATCAGCATTTTTTTTTATCTAGATCTGAAGTTATGCTATGTATTGTGTTATTGAATAGGTTGGGGCTGAAACAGCTCTTCTTTGGAGTACCTTTCTCCGTAGTTCCTTCACAGTAATATTCCTTCTTTTGATTTAATTTCCAAGTTTAGTTGATTATTCCATAATTCCCCATTTTTTTCTTAGACCACATCTATGAGTATTGAATAATATGTATTTATCACTAATGCATACTTGGGGGTACAGATGAATTCTACTTATATTGTATTTTTAGACAAATAATTAAAATACTTATTAGTGTGTTGTCAAATTATAATTAATTGTGCTACGTCAGGGATCTGTTAAGTGATTTATATACTTGGATTAATGACTGTTATCAAGAACAAACTATACAAAACAAAATGTATATGTAAGTAAATGTATCATATATATGATAGAGCTCTTTAATACATCTTAAATTCACACAGCAATAATTTTTGAGTTTAGTTTGTTCATCATATACACAAAAACCGTGTGGTCCATCATTCTTTTTTTTTTCTGTTTCAATATTCATTCTTCAATTCTTATTTGTTTTCATTACTTATATCAATTTCATATCATACACAGCTAGAAATTTGAAATGAAAATAGAAACAATACACATATAGATATAACAACAATGCTATGATGCTATCACTTTTTCAAATAAATTGATCTGAATATAAGTGTATACATTTGTGAGACCATCTCCCTACTAATACGTATGAATGTAATTCGGTTGTCACTCAATACATGCAAATGATTGTATGAACCACTAGTATCATAGTAAAATTATCCAGTTATTTATTTTAACAGATTGTGAACAAGATAACAAAAGCAAAGGGACTAAGATTGATATATGAACTTTAAATCATATGCTATATTTCATAACATTATTTGTTGTTGTTAATACAAAAATGTTATAATATTTGAAACATGTCTAGATTTTTTAGAACTACACTAAATGTTACGATAAGACATTTTATGTAAAGTTCATTGATACAATAAGGTCACAAGATTCTTGGTTTTGCATTTACATGTATTAACCGGTAACATTTTGTATCGCAGAACTTTCCTGTGATACTTTTGGTATATCAAAACAACAGCTATTTTTCATGATGACACCGGTAATAATTCCTGCTTACAGAAAATATTAATAATGGGTGTGATGATTATTATAACTAATGAAACAAAATCAAAATGAATATCTGAAGCACGAAGTTTAATTTGAGTCTTCGAATATGACTTGACATGGGATTGAAATGTTGGGTGCGTATACCATATTGATGTTTTACAAGTTTCGCCATAATCGAGTTTGTTCTTCTTTCCAATATGTAAGATTTTTAAGGTGCAATACGATTTGTGTGTTTTATTTTCGTCTTTCTACATTTTAGTGTAAAAAAACACTAACTTATCAGAGTTTAAAAAGCTAGTGAAATATGTTCAGATTCCTCTTAAAATCCAACTTTAGTCGTCGGAAGTTGTAAAAGCATGAACATTGTAATGAATGTCACATAGTATTTCAACAAGTTTAAATGCAGAAAAGAAAATCGGACAGGTTAACAGACGTCCGGAAAGATAAACCGATTGCCGTACATTCACATATGTTCATCAATGAGATATAAGGTAATAATTCGAACTAGTGACTATGACTTAGATAGTACTGTGATGCAATAATAGTAATTTTAGATATAGCTAGTCAATATCCAATATTCCTGATATTTAAATCTGCTAAATGACTGTACAGATATGTTAGTGGTTTGCATTATTTTCCAATAATATTTAATGTAATATTTTCTGCCCGGTTATTCTATAATATTGTTAAATTTGATCTGTGCATAGTTTTAAAAAATCTTATTTTCCCACTAAATCCAATGTTATTGCTATCTTCTAATATTGGTGGTATATCCAAAATTTTACAAAAGAAGTAGAACCGTAAATTTTTGAAATTATATCAATATAATAAATTATTGTATCTGTTAAGTTTGGACATGTAAAATGTAGTAAACCATAGAAAATGTGTTACCCTTCAATGTTTGCAGATTGATTCCTTATCTTTAATAATGTTTAATACTGATTTACTGTAGCGTTGCTATGTCATGTACATCATGTCAAGTTGACGTCTGTTTGAGCCCGTCTGGTCTTGGCCTTTGGTATGCTTGGTCTCCGCAGCTCTATGGCTGTTTTTCTTTATTGTTATAAACATCACCAATTCAAGAGTACAATTCAACTTAGAACGTGTATTAGTTCAACAAAATATTTATATTTATATTTGGTACATATATATGTACACTTTCTCTCATACAAAATGATACCAAGTATTTCCTAATGCACCTCACTACAACAACAGGATCGAAAGAGCCTATTGGAAATTATTAGCGAATATTGGAGACTATTGGCGGAATTATTTCACTATTATTATTATAAGTAACACAGCACGGGGGATGTTCTTTACAAGAACGCCCAAGTTTCTAATTAGTTACCTTGTCACTGCAATCCATTGTTGGCAAAATTTGGTAAATATTATAATATAGTTGACCGCGGAGAGGTGATGGTATATTGACCGTCTTTTGAGAGGCGTAAAATCACTCTCCTTGAATATCTGCGGTTTACAAATATTTATACTACTAGCTGACAAATTACAATTAAGTATGCAGAAAAGTTACCCAGATGTAATAATCCTTTGGTTTTTTACCTTCTCCAATAGCAATACTTACATAAGATAAAATCCGAGAGTTCCGAATGCAACACAAACATGGCGTTGTACAAGGCAGATGGCAGCTGTCTAACAGTTTACAATCTTCGATATGTTCAATTTGAAACGTATCAATATAAAAGTTATGGCACATTAATGACAGAAAACATTCTTCTTTTTTGGGAAATATAGTCTTGATAATCGTGTACAATTACTATAGAAACCGAAGCGAGAATAGACCTCGAGCATGCGACTGATCACTATAATATTTCAAGATCGCGATCGGTAGCTTGTTGTTATATGCCAATACCCAAGCAACATATAGTATATTAATTTCAACTACATCATACACTCATTCCCAAAGAAATACAATATTCATACAAAAGTTCTTCATATAGTGATTATAATCGTTACAAATAAACTTACAAGATTGTCATTACTTTATACATTGGTAAGCCGACAATACTATGAACTGCTTTAACTGTAATGCTTCAAAGATTGTAGTAGGTAGGGTCATTGCATTACTATAAATGAATTGAATAACATTTTTGTTATAATGACTCTTATTTCAATTTTCCTATTATATAATTGTTCATATATAATAAAATATGTGCTTCATATGACGTTTATTTGTTCAAAATGCATATATTCTAAAAACTACCAAGAGATTCATTACAGATACTGGACGTATCTATTAGATATTATCAAATGAACGTGTGTTCGGTCAATGTTGTTCTGTCTTTTTACTATCCGAAATGTTCCAAACAATGTAAATGTATTGACAACGTGCCTTTTCTTGTGACCAGTTCATGTATGACTGGTTATCTAAAGCTTGTTGCAATCCCTGTAATTTATTATAACTGCAACAATTGGTATTTATGCTCTCCTCAAATAACGTTAATTTTGCCATATTGATATTACTATATATTTATCAATCAGATGTGTAGACTATGTTGGTCACTGTAAGGAGGGTGATTTCATAATCTTTGCATGTTTCCAACTTTCCATTGTTTATACCATAGAAAGTTATGAAATTAACGGTCAAAAGTGTCAAACATGTGAAACAAAAAATCCTCAAATGACATTTTATGAAGAATCAACAGATAGAAATGTTAGCTGAAGTACTGCACAGTTTAAAAAGAGAACCTAGACATACGTTCCCAGTTTTATGAGTCAATAATGTTATGATAGTGTGGTTTAAAGCTTATGGTACTTATAATGGTCTAATGTAGTAACATGAAGTGTTTTACATGCGAAGACATATCCTTTGTTTCCTTGAATGCATTATCTTAACCAGTGTGGAAAGTGTCACAATTTAGTTTGTAAAACTTCTTAAGAAAGCTATATTGAAGTAAATGGAATGAAGATACTTTGTCTATACTGTTACCTTGACTGCTACATGACAATTTATCCTGACAAACTTTGAAGTTTACATACGTGGACTTGTGATATCAAACAGTATTGACAGGCAAGTGTGAGCGGTACATCCCCATTTGATATCTTTTCTAACACTCAAAATATCCTGTATTTATAACAACACATTGATAGATGGTAGTGCGATTATATAGACAATAAATCGGTCCAAACTATCTGGGGTTACTGTTCATATGTAAGTTTTAAAGATATTGATAAAAGACATAAACATGGTATTATAGTTGCAGCTTGGAATTCAGACAATAGAAATCATTAGCTCCATGCATACATTTCAGGGGAAACCCTCACATCTCTGACACACTCATACGACGTAAGGATTTTCAACAGATGACATTGTTGGAACTATTTCTGTTACAGAAAAATTCAAATGTAGGGATACATATTTTAATAGGGGTTAATATCGCGGATTATTCAGAAAAAAAAACGTCTGTTGTTAGGATCCCGTGTTTTACAAAGGTTGTAACGACTACATAAATAGGTCTTCCGGAAAAAATCGACAGGAATCACGGTCAGCATTGGTGTTACTAGCTGTATATATTAAAATTTATTTAACCGTTTATTTTTTGTCTGTATCTGTTTACAGCTAAAATCAGCGAACAAATAGATAACATTGTAAACCAGTTATGAAGTATAAGAAAGAAATAATTAAAAAAAGTCTACTGCTGTTTGACAGGATACATGCTATATATTAATGGAATGAAAGCCGAAACGAAACAAATTTATTTTCCAAATATCAATACACTTAAACTTGTGATTATTAACATGTGTATTCATTCAGATGAGGGACGATCATTAGCGCAAAAAGATCGATTCGCGGGTCATCAAATATATCTGTCAGATACTACAACAGGTTGGAGAAACAGTGGCAGCTGTTATGCAGACACAACTTCTCAAAATAGTATGGTGGACCTAACTCCACGAATCACATCATGTACAGGCAACACCCGATACCTGACAATTTTCGTCGACCGTCAAACACAAAGTTACGATTGGTACTCTACACAAGCTATACTGGAACTCTGTGAAGTACAAGTTTATGGTGAGTATATTTGTGCAGTAGTTTGATTTAAACCATTGATACGTCATATGATGTATATAGTCTCCATTTTGTTGTATTGTGTGTGTATGTCATTCGTGCCCTGAAAACTTAAATCAACGAACTAAAGATTTTGTAAAAGAGAAATAAACTAAATTGACAAGAATGAAACATAAGAATAGTATTTGTCGCAATTTTAACAATTCACCACCCGGGCTTTTATGCTCCTGCTATTTAAGCTATGTAAGTGGTGATTTTAGCTTACCCCAAATAACTTACTTCGTTCCTGGTAATTTGTCTGGAATGTGTATATTTACTCTTATTCATACTGCATGTTGTTTGAGATATCCAGATTAATCCCTATACCAGGCTATTATCAAATATCGAAATATCTAAAATACTTTGCCGTGCCAATTTTTATTTTTATTGTCAGTAAGCTATCAGACTGATGTTCATCACACGATGTAACGTACATGTACGCGTCAAGATTATGGAAATCTGCTCGTTTAGAAAATAGCTTTAATATTATAGAAATAAACAACATTATGACAAAGATTGCAAGAAAATCATCAAACTAAAACCTATCAATGGTTTGGATCACTATGGTATGCGAAGGGAGACAAATCTTACAAGAAAAAAATAAAAGAATTTAGAAAATATTAGAGTAGAATCAGTAGTATCTGATGCCGACTTAAAAGTGCTATCTCATTGGAATACCTTGCAAAAGTATTTCGTCCTGTTACATTATACTGACAAAGGGTGAAGCAGATGTTGCTATTACCCTAAATGCCTAACGTTAAACTGGTAATAGTATCTGCCATTTTTAAAGACTTTGGTATGTTCTGGCCTGAGTACAGAACCAATTGCCATTCTCACCTGAAGAAATGTTAAACTTTAAAGCTAAAAGTGAGGTATTGCCAAGCAAGGCGCTATGAAATAAAAGGTAGCTAGAAGTAGTGAGAAATGTAAAGATCCCAAATATTGCAATGGGTGCAGCAGATTTATTTTGGTCGCTTTTGTGACCTCAAATAGAGGACACTAAAGCAAATCCCAAATTCTGCAGTGGTTTTTTTTACATATTTTACATCAATCGCCTCTTACGGTACATGCAGTGGATAACACCAGGTGTATTCATTTCCCGATCCCCGATCTGCAAGGGTGTCCTCGATCAGACGTTAACAGGTGCTGAATCACTAGCCCGACTATGTGGGTTTTCTCCGGGTACTCTGGGTTCCTCTCGTAGTAAAATCCTTTATTTTTCCCTCCAGGCCAACAAATGTGAGTTATATATGATGAAAAAACAGGTTCATTCTTGGTGTAAAGGCAATAAAAAAAATCTTAATAAAGAATTCACATTTTTAATTACAAAACAATATGTGTTTTGTGCATGTAATCCTAAACTGTTAACATAAAGTAAGCACCTGCTGCAGAAATAGTACACATTTTAAAGGCAGGTCAAAATACGTTTTTTCAGTAGCCATTTGTATAGTGCATGACACCTATTGTAATTTAGAGACAAACTAATATAAAACAACTTTAGACATTGTAACTGTATAATTTATTTTAATTTATTTGAAGCGCATATGATCAGGTAATTTTCTGTTACTTTTTATAAGATGTTCAAGTTTTGTTGTATTTTTGTTATACACGTACATGTAATGGACTTTATTCGTGGCTTGTTTTGTTGTAAATGCTTTTGGTGAGAGATCATAACCTTAATCAATTCAATCAAAAAATGTAATAGCTGCTTGGTATTGATGTTCATATTTCAATGTACCATACTTCTGTGTTTAGCGCATAAAATGATAAAGTTCGTTTCAGAAGGAAAGGATTTTTGTACATATTGCATCATAAGATATACAAATTTCAGGTTGTCCAGTAGGAAAATATGGCATCAGTAACTGTGGTAGCAACTGTGATACAACCTGTGTTAGCAGCCTGTGTCATCCTAGCAGCGGTCAGTGTACATGTAAGTAAACACATTTTGAGTAGATTTTTTAACTTTAATAGAAGAATGTTCATATGGATATATATCAAACGAATGTGAAAATTGACAAAACTCCAGGATTTATACAAAAATGTGTTATTCACAAACAAAGACGTTGCATTTTGCACAAATATTGTCATTGTTTAAGATATTTAGTATAACTAGGCACCTGAAGAACAAATACATTCAAAACGTTTGTCATTTACACATTTATTTTTATATCATTAGAATATAAGATAATTTCTTTCGTTGACATACAAATTACATTATGAATGTTTTCCATTAAATTGTTAACTATTGTTTTCACTATCTCAATATTGTTTTCCTGATTTCAATGAAGTGCCATTGTCTATAATAATATAATACTAACTGTTATATTATTATTAAATTCTGTACTATTTTATCACATTGATAATTGTAGTTTAGTACTTTGAATCAGCTCATGATTATACACAGTAACGTCTTATTATTTTTAGACTGTGCGCCGGGATTTTATAAGTCCAGGCTTGTTTGTACAGCATGTCCGACAAACTGTTTGAATGGCGTGTGCAATGAGGAGTCCGGTGTTTGCTCAGGTAAGTAAAACGTCATTCTCTCTACATTGCCCTGTGTGTAAGAGCGAGCTGTCCATGGTAAGAAAGGGGTGTGGGAAATTTCTATCTTACATCCCATTTCACGTGACGCGACGTCACAATTGCTCAACAATGACGTGACGTCACGAATTTCGAAATCTCCAATGCTGCATTGTGGAAAAGGCGACGTGATGAAATTTAAACCTTTTACTATATATTCAACCTATACCGTAGCAAGATGTTATCATTTATGGGGTATTCGAAATCTGGCTGACAGATTCGTTTTCGTCTAAAAAAACTCACATGAAAAATTGTTATTTTCAAAATGGTGGCAAGTCCAAACTCATTTTCGTGGTTTCTGAGGTTTAATGACTCTTTATGCCCAAGGGTGTAGGATAGGGAAATTCCACCTTCGGGATTTATAAATTTATATTTGAAAAACCCTCGGGTTGAGTTTCCCTTTCTTACACCCCTGGGCATGAAAGAGTCTTATAAAATACCGATATCTATGATTAAAACATACAATATTAGTTTTGGGTGAGTTTATGATAAAAATGCAGTGATGTGTAAATGAACCAGGAATAACGTTACAGTATTGTTTTACCCTTGCAGGCCTAAACTCATTTTTGTATTGCTTTCCTAGCTTAATTGGCTCAAACGAGTTCAAACGTGTTCTCTCGAAATCGTATTTTGACATACATGAATTCAACCATTCACGCAAGGATACCATGGTTTCCTTCTTCTAGCATTATTGAGTGAAAAGCTATTTTTTCTACTCTTAAGTTGTGATTTACGGACATATCAACATGTTATTATTTCGCGTTTCCATTATATGAAATATATGGGTATCGTGACGTTAGCTGGGTATTTTTTACCTTTCATGCAGAATTATTTTAAGATGCTGATCTCAGATGGCTATATAATTCGTGACTTGTTTACATCCTCTTCCAATTGTTTCTTGATTTCATAAAGCAATTTTAAAATTGAAATACATTGTAGCTATCGTAATGATAGTTTGTGCTAACCAAATGCATGTAGCACAGAGCGAATAGGTGTATAGAGTATGATGAGATTATAATAATAAAATTTACATTTGTTGATACTCTTATACAGATTTATGTTCACAAAGTCATATTCCTTATAAATAACATATTCAAATAGTGTTCTGACAATTTATTCAGACTAAGTTATGTATGATGGGTTTTTTCAGCTTGCGTCGATGGGTACCATGGCAGCCAGTGTGACCAATCATGTCCAGACAACTGTCGAGACAAGATATGTGACCAAACTAGCAGTGTGTGTACAGGTACGTCATCAATACTATACTTATGATACTGTTATGACATTTTAACTGTATAAATCGTGTCAACCAAATAGTACAGAGCGAATTGGTCCCGAAAACTAACATCCAGGACAGTATTCAAAACGGGGAGTATCCAAAACGGGACACTTGTGGAAAAACAGACCAAAACAACTATCATGTAATGCAAAAGAAAGTACTTTTTTATGCGGTTTTCACTTCGTGTTAATCTTATGACATGTTGACTGTAAGAAAGATGTATTGACTGTTGATTACCATCACATTGACAATTAAAGGTAAGAATAATTACCAAAACCGAAATTTGATGATTTACATGTCGTGCATATTTTTCTGCTGATATTGATTGTATATTTCCCAATTTTAGTCAAGGTACCAGGTGTCCCTTTCAGGGTTTAGCTACACTTGTTCAAGGGCCTACGTGACCCTGATAGTATTTCGCGTAACATCGCGCCGTAAATATCAACTTGTAATAGAAATGAAAAGTAAACGGTCACTATTCATGAAAATCGAACGAACATATTTGGAAATGATGCTATGGAAAGAAGTAAATTCATATTTATCTAACAAGTGTCACGTTTGGTGTCTGACGTTATCTGGTGCTTTTTTTACCTTTCATGCTGAAATGTTTTAAGATGCTGATTTCGGATGGTGTTGTAATTCGTGACTTGTTGACATCCTCTTTTACTTATTTCATGGTTTTATAACACGGTTTTTCGATTTGATCCTTAGAAAAATTCGAAAATGTTTTGATTGATAGTAGATTATTCTTAAATGGTTCTATAAAAGCGATCGCAATTATCAATCGTGCCACCCAAATAGTATAGAGTAAATAGTTAAATAGAGTATGCTGACATTAAAATAATAAACTTTACATTTTAAATATCCATTTCCAGTACAAATATTCTGATTAAGCTGTATATGTTGAATATAAAGAAAAAAACTCCTCATGTTTATACTCTTATACAGATGTACGTTTACAAATTTATATTCCCTATGCATAACATATTCAAATATCATTCAACAACTTTAACAACTTTCTCAGACCAAGTTATGTATGATGTTTTTTAGCTTGCGTCGATGGGTACCATGACAGTCAGTGTGACCAATTATGCCCAGACAACTGTCAAGACAAGATATGTGACCAAAATAGCAGTATATGTAAAGGTACGTCATCAATGCTATATTTTCTTTTAGCAATATTTTGATTTAACCAAAAAGGGGAATTTGAAGGAAATAGTGGGATGAACTTAACTCATTTAAGTCCTATTTACAATATCATGATTTGTTTGCGTTTTAGGAGACCTGAGCTTTGCTCAAGTGACCTAGGCTGAATGCTTTCCGTTCGTCGTCGTGCGTCTTGCGTAAACTTTTTTATATTTTCGACTTCTTCTCAAACCAGTGGATGGAATTTCTTCACACTTGGTCAGACTCATCCTTTATAGATAAGGCTACAAAATTGTAAAACTGGGATACTGTACCTATCTTAACCCAAGGGGCAAGGGCGATGCTCCAAAGGGAAAATTAACCAATATTTCAAAAATCTTCTTCTCCAAACTCAGAGGTATTACAGTCAACCTCTCTGTATCCATTGGGAGACATATATCCTCAAACAAATCGATTCTATGTCTTATTTCTCTATTTTAGCATCTAGTTATGGAAATACAATCTAGTTTACTTAAAATACCATTCAACTTTACAGAACACAACCTACATTATAAACTCATGGTCTAACTTAATGAAGTACCATCTAAGTTGTAAACCATGGCCTAAATTATGGTAACGTAGTCTAAATTATTAGAGAATCATCTACTTTTTAAAACCATGTCTGAATTATCGGGCGATGGCCAAGTTTTCAGGAACACTCACCCACTATCCCTGTATTTCCTTTGATGTAGCCGCTTACCAGTAAAGCCAGTACAGGTAAAGCAGTCTGTGAGCATAGCCCTATTGTAGCTACACAGACAGTACATTTTTTTTTTGTACAAAGAACTGACAGGTGAAATTACAGATTCAAATCTGGTGAGAGTGACATTAATGTAGATATAGGTATTTATTAACTTAAATACTTTTAGTCCACAAAAAAACAGTTTATTTTGGGTATTAAGAAAACAGATTATACATACCGTAATGAACAACTATTACATGTAGTGGGGAATTAATTTTGTTGGTTGTTACACAAGCACTCTGAAAAATTAATAAAAATAATAATAGAATATATATCCGTCTATCAGCACATGGACAACATGATGGATATATTTGATATTGAATACATATATATATATAATTAATATTGAAATATTTTTTATTTTAACATTGTTATTAAAAGTCTAAAGATCATATATGACGATTATTAAATTAAATATGATCGGCTTCAAGCTTAGAAATACTGCCAATACTACTCAGAAACAGACCATACTCCTTTAAACATTATTCTTCTCCCCATGTGTTTTTAAAAGTGGAAGAATAAGCCCAGCTTCTATATAATTATTAGCAGGTAGTTTTTCCAAATGGTACAGCCCACTCCTGTTTGGTGGGGTTGGTCACCACACAGAACAATTAGCTCAGGTAAAAACAAAGACCAGGTCGGCCCTGGCTATATTCCTGATTGGACACTGCTAGCTGAACCATACTGTTAGATACTGGTCTAGGCTCTTTAATTTTTTTAGGGTCTATATCAAAATGTTTCTTGATTTTTTCTCTTTTCTTGTTTATAGGTAAAATGCCCGAGTGGATGAATGATTAATGTATTAATTCAATTTTGATAATTTAGTTATTTCAATTTTGAATTGTCCTTATTTCAAACATAACAAATGTGCCTTGTGGCTATTACTACTATGTTCCTGAAAATTAGGGCATGTTCCTGAAAACTTGGCCATGGCCCGATAATCTAGACATGGTTTTAAAATGTAGATGATGCTCTAATAATTTAGACTACGTTACCATCATTTAGGCCATGGATTTACACCTAGATGGTACTTCATTAAGTTAGAACATGATTTCATAATGTAGATTGTGTTCTGTAAAGTTGGATGGAAGTTTAAATAAACAAGATCGTATTTCCATAACTAGATCCTAAAATAGATAAATATGACATAGAATCGATTTTTTAATGATATATGTCTCCCAGTGATCGATAAAAAGATAATCATGAGCTTTATCGAATTGTAAATTTCAGCATTTCCGGGTAATCCGTTCTTCTTTTGGGAGGGGGTAAAGTTTACTATAGTTTATATAAGGAAATAACACTTTTGGGTATATTTTGTCCATTTTCAGTAGGAAATTATTCTTACTGGGTGAGAATCATCCGTGGAGGAAGATTGTATCAAATTGTAAAATTGGGATTCCCGCCCCATCCCCAGGGGCCAGGGCGGACCCCAAATGGAAAAATTACCAATATTTCAAAAATCTTCTTCTTCAGACTCAGATGTACTACAGTCAATTTCTCTGCATAGATGGGAAGATCATCAGGGATCAGGGGCTTTGTTTAAATTGTTAATTTCAATACACCCGGGTCATCCGTTCTCTGTGATTAAGCTGTATATGTTGAATACAAAGAAAAAACTCCTTATGTTTATACTCTTATACAGATGTACGTTTACAAATTTATATTCCCTATACATAACATATTCAAATAATATTCTAACAACTTTCTCAGACCAAGTTATGTATGATGTTTTTTAGCTTGCGTCGATGGGTACCATGGCAGCCAGTGTGACCAATTATGCCCAGACAACTGTCAAGACAAGATATGTGACCAAAATAGCAGTATGTGTAAAGGTACGTCATCAATGCTATATTTTCTTTTAGAAATATTTTGATTTAACCAAAAAATGGGAATTTGAAGGAAAGGGTGGGATGAACTTAACTCATTTAAGTCCTATTTACAATATCATGATTTGTTTGCGTTTTAGGTGACCTGAGCTTTGCTCATGTGACCTATTCTAAATGCTTTCATGTATGGAAATACAATCTAGTTTATTTAAACTTCCATCCAACTTTACAGAACACAACCTACATTATGAAATCATGTTCTAACTTAATGAAGTACCATTTAAGTTGTAAACAATGGCCTAAATTATGGTAGCGTAGTCTAAATTATTAGAGCATCATCTACATTTTAAAACCATATCTGAATTATCGGGCCATGGCCAAGTTTTCAGGAACATGCCCTAGTTATCAGGAACATAACACCTAATCTTAGATTAGACCGTGATTACCGAAAATTAGGTGATGGTCCACTCACCCACTATCCCTGTATTTCCTTTGATGTAGCCGCTCACCAGTGAAGCCAGTACAGGTAAAGCAGTCTGTAAGCATAGCCCTATTGTAGCTGCACAGACAGTACATATTTGTTTTTGTACAAAGAACTGACAGGTGAAATTACAGATTCAATTCTGGTGAGAGTGACATTAATGTAGATATAGGTATTTACTAACTTAAATAAATTTAGTCCACAAAAACAGTTTATTTTGGGTATTAAGAAAACAGATTATACATACCGTAATGAACAACTATTACATGTAGTTGGGAATTAATTTTGTTGGTTGTTACACAAGCACTCTGAAAAATTAATAAAAATAATAATAGAATATATATCCGTCTATCAGAACAAGGACAACATAATGGATATATTTGATATTGAATACATATATATATATATAATTAATATTGAAATGTTTTTTTTATTTTAACATTGTTATTAAAAGTCTAAAGATCATATATGACGATTATTAAATTAAATGTGATCGGCTTCAAGCTTAGAAATACTGCCAATACTACTCAGAAACAGACTATACTCCTTTAAACATTATTCTTCTCTCCATGTGTTTTTAAAAGTGGGAGAATAAGCCCAGCGTCTATATAATTATTAGCAGGTAGTTTTTCCAAATGGTAAAGCTCACTCCTGTTTGGTGGGGTTGGTCACCACACAGAACAATTAGCTCAGGTAAAAACAAAGACTAGGTCGGCCCTGGCTATATTCCTGATTGGACACTGCTGTCTGAACCATACTGTTAGATACTGGTCTAGGCCCTTTAATTTTTCTAGGGTCTATATCTAAATCTTTCATGATTTTTTCTCTTTTCTTGTTTATAGGTAAAATGCCCGAGTGGATGAATAATTAATGTATTAATTCAATTTTGGTAATTAAGTTATTTCAATTTTGAATTGCCCTTATTTTAAACATAACAAATGTGGCTTGTGGCTATTACTACTATGTTCCTGAAAATTAGGGCATGTTCCTGAAAACTTGGCCATGGCCCGATAATCTAGACATGGTTTGAAAATGTAGTTCATGCTCTAATAATTTAGACTACGTTACCATCATTTAGGCCATGGATTTACAACCTAGATGGTACTTCATTAAGTTAGAACATGATTTCATAATGTAGGTTGTGTTCTGTAAAGTTGGATGGAAGTTTAAATAAACTAGATTGTATTTCCATAACTAGATGCTAAAATAGATAAATATGACATAGAATCGATTTTTTATTGATATATGTCGCCCAGTGATCGATAAAACGATAATCATGGACTTTATCAAATTGTAAATTTCAGCACCTCCGGGCCATCCGTTCTCCTTTGGGGAGGGGGTAAAGTTTCCTATAGTTTATATAAGGAAATAACACTTTTGGGTATATTTTGTTCATTTTCAGTAGGAAATTATTCTTACTGGGTGAGAATCATACTTGGAGGAAGATTGTATCAAATTGTAAAATTGGGATTCCCGCCCCATCCCAAGACGCCAGGGCGGGGTCCCAAATGGAAGAATTACCAATATTTCAAAAATCTTCTTCTTCAGACTCAGAAGGTACTACAGTCAATTTCTTTGGTACAGTACAAATATTCTGATTAAGCTGTATATGTTGAATATAGAGAAAATTCCTTATGTTGATACTCTTATACAGATGTACGTTAACAAATTTATCTTCCCTATAACTAACATATTCAAATAATATTCTAACAATATAACCAGACCAAGTTATGTATGATGTTTTTCAGCTTGCGTCGATGGGTACCACGGCAGTCAGTGTGACCAATCGTGTCCAGACAACTGTCAAGACAAGATATGTGACCAATATAGCAGTATGTGTAAAGGTACGTCATCAATGCTATATTTTCTTTTAGCATTATTTTGATTAACCAAAAAAAGGAGGAATTTGAAGGAAAAGGTAGGATGGACTTAAATCATTTAAGTACTTTTTACAATATCGTGATTTGTTTGCTTTTTTATCATATATTATCTCTCGTTTTAGATTAACGCATCAATTTAGTGTCAGTTTAAATATATAATTCAACTAGATTGTAAACTATAAAAAGTAACTATGCTGAAAATTACAAATACGCCATAACGTTATTAACAATAAACATACTGTAGTTGTAATTGAGAAAACTAACATATTGTACTCTCTATTTAACTGAATAAATATTTGGTTGCATTTATTTTTTTGTGGACAATGAATATCAAGTTGAAAGATTAATTCATACTAGCATGTCGGGTGTTAGTTTGATACCACAGATAGCACATGTGTTAACATACTGTGAGCATTTCCCCTTCAATAAGCTTAAATTATATTTCAACTAAAATAGGATCTTAAATCGAACTGGATTTCCACGTATTTTTTTACGTTAATATTGTTTGAAATCAACCCGGTAAAATTAGGTTACCCCTTTGATTCAGCTTGCGCCAACGGATACTATGGCAGTCTATGCGATCAACCATGTGTAGATAATTGCAAGGACAACATATGTGATCAGGGAAACGGAGTGTGTTCACGCACGTAGCAAATATTACTATTTGTTGTAATTTTACCACAACACTAAACATGAATAGGTATCCTTACATTGAAACAAATATGTCGTTAAACATCACAGTAGGTCTATATTGCCATTGCTAATGGACTTCACGATTCTTGTTCCTATATATCATTATCTCATTAGGTTTTACAGGAAATGGAAGTGTCATTGGAGCAAAAACATGTCGTAATTAACACAGAGTATGATGTTATAACTATCATACTTTCCTGAATAAATCGCCATTGACATAAAGCCTCATCTTATCAATCTCTGTCTCAAAAGCCGAGTTTATGGTTCTCTCATACACATATCATTTGCTATATTTTTTACTATAAGCGCAAGCTTGAATAGATAGCATATCATATTATTAATCTCTATCTCGATAGCCGATTTTGTGGTTCGTCTATAAATGCCTAAAATACGATTTAGATTAGTTTGAAGGTTAAGTCAGAAGAAAAACAATCCAATCGCTTGTTGTCTGGTCAATATGTAGTTAGCAATGTCCTTTCATGAATCGAAAGAGTATTACACGTACTACGTAAAGCCATTACCGTACCTTGAATTTGGTTTACCTTTCATGCCGACTTGTTTTAAAATGCTGATATTTTTTCATACTCTTTCACGTGAAGTAACCAGATTTGGGGTGCAAGGACATCTTGGGATGGCGGAGTACAGAGTGAAGAATTAGATCACTATGACCTCACTGTGACCTATGCTTTGACCTTAGACCTTAACTTTTGAAAATGTTTTTTCCGGGACATATCTTCTATACTATTTCACCTGGAGTAACCAGATTTGATGTACAAGGACATCTTGGGATGGCGGGGTGCACAGTGCAAGAATTAGATCACAGTGAACTATGACTTGACCTTTGACTTTTACTTTTGAAAATGTTTGTCCGGGGAATAACTTCTTTACTATTTCACCTGAAATAACCAAATTTGGTGTATAAGGACATCTTGGGGTGACGAGTGCACGAAGGAGGTCAATATGACCTCACTGTGACCTATGATTTGAACAGTAGGTACATCCTGACATACGCGTACTGTTTGTTAGATATAGAAATTATTACCGCTGGGGAACTATGGATTGCTTTGCAATACTTTGCCTTGTTAAAAATGTTTATTAAATATACATAATAGCGTATACTAAATAGTGTTCCCTCATTAATGCATGACATAGGACTTATTTCCATTACGGTAAATATTGTTTACGATACATTTTTTATAAATAATCAAACATGTTTAGACCTAACATGAATCGGAATTACTTTTACTCGTTTCTTTAATGACAATCGTTATAATTAATCGTGACAAGACAATTGTACAAAACAAGAAGTTAAATAAAATATGCTGAGACCATATTTCATTAAACGTTACTTCAAAAATATTCATTTAGTGTTTAGAAACTCATCATCATATTTGTATGACCCTTTGTAGCTTGCATGAACGGGTACCATGGCAGCTACTGTAACCAAACATGCTCTATCAACTGTCAAGATATGATTTGTGACCAATATAGCAGTGTGTGTACAGGTAAGCTGTGAACATATTAATTTGTTATGTCAGCTTTTAGGTTAAAGATTATCAAGATATCTCAAGTGATATGTAGTTTAGTACCTTGAAGTTTCTATTGTGATC